CGCCCCACGATTGTCCACAGTATCCACAAGTATCCACAAATAATCCTTTCAGGCACTAACCACTATGCAATTAAATAAACACGCACCGCGATTATGTTATTCGTGAATGTCTACGTGTACGTGTATCACGATTCTTCCGAGTTACACACGAATAAAACTGTTATTAATTTTTCAGGAAACAGGAATTTAATAAGTATTCGCTGATTGTTTTACGACTGACTAGCTGGCCGAACACGTGCAGATGCTGCCCTTTGTCTCCGCTGTGTGTGAGAGAGATAAGCGAGGCGAGTGACGTAGAATCGGGGTCCTGTTCGGCATTTATTTCTCTGAAACTCGTCGATCGATGGCACAGTCAGCTGCTAGTATTGTTACATTCTTCGACGTGAACGTAAATCGATGCGAAAATTTAATTTATCCTGCGATTCCTTTTACATTTTTAAGATAAAGTGTATTTTAAAATTAATAACAGTTTTATTCGTGTGTAACTCGGAAGAATCGTGATACACGTACACGTAGACATTCACGAATAACGTAATCGCGGTGCGTGTTTATTTAATTGCATAGTGGTTAGTGCTTAAAAGGATTATTTGTGGATACTTGCGGACACTGTGGACAATCGTGGGGCGTGTATAATCGCGTGTGGGTGATTTTTGTTCACAACATTGTGTAGTGGAACTGGCATTCACTCTTTCTCTGTGAAAATCTCGTCGGGCGAGTTTTGATATTCCCTTCTGGATTTTCCTAAGACAGGTTGAATCTTATTCAACGTAAGGTGTTCGCATTCCCATAAGTGGACAAAAATCTAAGGCTGTCAATAATGTCGGTAAGTCGCCTGCCGCAACCGTCCGCGCGAACGCAGCTGTTTAGCGGGTTGTCATTCTACAGACGGAACTTTAAATGTTAATAACTTTGCAACGAAGCCTCCATCAACAAATTAGTATTCTTGATTTTCGTCTTATTTTGACCTCTACTACCGCTCATTAAAATTTTTACTATAGGTAGTCGAACACCCTGTATACTAATCATTAGACTGCGGATTTTTATGCAGTTAAAATGTATCCCCATATGAATGTAATATGCAAGAAATATGCAAGAAGTATGCAGAAAATATGGGGGAAATATGCAGGGAATATACAAGCAACGCTCGGACACTATTGACTCCACCGTCGTTTTATTTGTCATAATTTACACTGCAATATATAATAATTGTTTTTTCAAGGTTTTCTACAGTAAAATGGTACCGCTTGTCGGAAAAAATTAATTTATACGCAGAAAATGACCTCTCTACGTCACAAGATGTAATCGGTGCATATTTAAATTTGCTCCAATACCGTGCTGGAACATCTTCTACTCCTTCTGTCGATACCCCGTTTAAAACCTTGACAATTTTTGTTAATGAAGCGTAGCCAGGATTTTTGTTTAAAATGCGGTTAAACTTCTCCTTGATTTTTTCTCCAAAAGTACCACGTATGCTTTTCATATTTTTTACAATCTCTTCGACTATTTCCATTGATGCTGATAAGGGCATCTTCCGCTTTTCCAATTTTTGTATAAAGGTTCTTATTCTATTTGAGGGTTTCCACCGATAATAATAATAACAAACTAAATATGTTTCTCTATAAAAGAAAGGTTTGTATTTTATTTTACCATTCACCTTATATTATTTACATATGTACAATCTTACCTATAAAAGAAACGACAATTTACGTTCGTTATTAGTAGTTCTATTCTTATATTCTGCTTTGACTTCACTCTTACTTTGCATTACTTTCCCGCATTTACACTCTCCTACATAACCTCTACTTCTCTCCTTATCTCTATCGATATTGATCGATATCAGTACCCTATAGCTATGTTCGCGCAGAGCGCGGCAAATTCGAGTGAAGGGAAATACATTTTCCTTATATTTGTATGCTGACAAGGAGAGTGCTAAAGTGGGCGTTAATATATATCAGATCTTGATGTATATTTTCCTTCTCGAGAATTTCCTTTGCAGTTCTAATTGATGCTGCGTCTTTTTCATTCAACAACTTCATTACCTGTATAAGAAATGGCAGTATCCAAAAATAATATTTTGATCATAAAATTGTTGGTAAATAATGTGAATAACAAAATAAGATTCGATGAAAAATTATAAAGGAGTACCTCTCCAATAATCTCTAAATGCTTTGCATAAAATAGGGCTGCCTCTAACCAAGTCCCCCATCTTGTGATGACTGGCTGTGGTGGAAGTGGAACATTCGGAGCCTTCTCTTTATAAAGTGCTATGCGATGAGGAGCTTTTAGAAATACTTGCTTTACGGCGGATATTAGTGTGTTGACCGTAGAAAAATGGAGCCGTACTTCCTCTAGCAATCGATGTATTCCATGCACCAAGCATGTGACATGTAACATCTTTGGATAGAATATTTTTAAATGCCTGGCAGCCTTTAGCATATATGGAACTGCATCCGTTACCAGGAGTAAAACTCTTTCATTACAGGCATCTTCCACGTTTGGCCACAACATTCGAATTGCCGAATCGGTAAATCTAGCGATCGCAGCATGATCTGGTTTTTCTATTTGTTTGCAAGCAAGCAAGTGAGGCGTCGCTGCTTCTTCCTCGCACATTTTGCCAACAACTAAATTAGCAATGTAGCGGCCGGCATTGTCCGTAGTTTCGTCTACAGATACCCAGATGTTATGTTCTGCAATATCTTTTCTAATCTCTTGAATACATGCTTCATAAAGACTCTGTAGGTAACCTTTTCTAAGAGTGGATTCGTCGGGTATATTTTGACCTGTATACTTTCTGAGAAAATTTTTCCACGTAACGTTGTCTAGACATCGCCAAGGCATTTTTATGGCTACCATCGCTTTACACAGATCACTATAAAATGGATTTTTGCTTGTCTCTTGGTCACTTGTGCTTGCTCTGGAATCATTATGCCATTGCACATTTCTTCGATGAGTAGCGGTTGCTGCATGTTGAGATAACTGTGACTTCCTATCGCAGTTGATATCCTTATTGCACACTTGACACTTAATAGTACCCCTTTCGAGAATAAAATTTGTATCAGCTACTTCATTTATCCATTTGGTTAACATAAATTGCTTAGCTGTCTTCGCTTTCGGCATTGTACGGGAATGAATGCACACTTCGAACGATCAGCAATCCAAGAACGATGGAATCGAACTAAGCATCCTAATAGACCTCAATACATTTGGCTGCTCTATAACTGACGATACTGTTTACTTTCCTTTGAATACCACTAATCGCGAATACAAACTGTACGAGCAGGCTTATTATGAACTGATTATGCGACAGCTACACCGAATTATCATGAATCATTCATGATTCATGAACCATAATTCGTGAATTGTTGCAAGGAGTACTGATAATAAACTAGAGGCATGTAAAATAAGCAGGAAATATGCAACATATTTAGTCATCTGTCCCTTAGGTAAAATATGCAGAACATATACAATATGAAAAATATGTATCTGCATAAAAATCCGCAGTCTACTAATCATATTTCCTTGAAAACCAGATTCGGACAATAAAAACCGACACTAGAGTGTAACCGTTTCAGAAGACACTTCACGACACTTCTAGCACATCATGCTGTATCTCCGCTACTTTGCATTTTATTTCAACAAAAAAAAATTGCAAAATGAAATTGAAGTATATTCTAAATAGTCCTGAAAACCTTACAAATATTTATTAATTCTTTATCCTTCGAAATAATTCTTGAATATTGGCTTAATTTCGGATTTCTACATAGAGGTCCCCCCTTAACCCCTTAACGTTCATGCTCGAGTTTGACTGCTTTGAAAAACAATATTTGTTTAATCCAACGGTTTAAGGGATGATGATATTTGTTTTCCTTCAAATTATACGTTAGATACAACATTGTAATTAAAAAAAACCATATTTTTAGAAACAAATCCAATAAACAAAACTTATCATTGTTGGTTAACACGTTCACGCCGGCGCGTACCACCGGTGGCTCACACAAGACTTCTTCATCGGGCGACGCGTACCACCGGTGGTACACATTTGATTGTGCTATTAGGCGACGCGTAACACCAAACATTTAGGTCTATAAGGAAGTAGAAATAATTTCCAAATAGTTGAAAATTAAAATAATGAAAATTTAACGTATATTCATTGAAAACATTTATTTTTAATGACTATTATAATTAATAAAATATTATAAATATAACTGTAATTCAATAACATCAAAATAATAATACTATATTATAAATGTAGGATCAGAAGTGTAAAATCTGCCTTTTTTGTAATTCACATGCGCGAATTGGAAAGAAACACAATCAACGTATAAATTAATTATAATTGAAACACAACGTATCACCGTATAAATTAGTTATAATCGAAACACAACGTATAAACGTATAAATTAGTTATAATCGAAACACAACGTATAAATTAATTATAATCGAATCACAACGTATCAACGTATAAATTAGTTATAATCGGAACACAACGTAACATGTAACGTAATGGACGTTCGTAGCGTAATCTTCGTGATCGACGTTCACTCTCAAAAAAGCCCCCCTCTTTCCCGGACTCGCGCTTTTATCCTCCAGCTCCCGAACACTTGCCGGTTTCACGTCCGGTCATGTTTCGAGAACGTTCTCGTCGTTTCGTATCAATATCGCGTTACCATAGTCCATGCACTCATACATTCAATCATGCAATCATTTAGAGTCGACACATTCATGTAGTTCAGTCATTCCAGAACGTTCTTGACATTTTCCATAGTTCCTCATCCGGTATTACTTCTCGAATATTCCTAACGTTACCAAACATTCCGTCTCTAAGGTCATTGCACTCATACATTCAACCATTCACTCAGAATCGACACATTCAGTTCACTCAGTCATTCCCTGCGATCGATACGATACAACGAAGAACGCTCATCTCCTACATAAATATAACTTAAATTCAATAAAATTAACAGAACAATTCAATATTATATTATTTATAACTTCATTATTTATCGTTTGTTGTGTAATTTGTTAAAACATTTTAAGCAAAGTGTTGGTTGACCTTTGCATTGCCTGCAAAACGTCTTAACTCTTGTAGTTTTTTTAATGGCATAATCTCTGCCCTTTTTCTTATATATTTTTTTATAACATTCTTTGCATCGTTTACGGGACTCTCTTGCAGATCCCTCATATGATTGAAGAGCATGTTTATATGACGGTATTTTATTTTCATTTGCCATTTCTCCATTATACAAAAGATGATTAATAATATTTTCCCTAAATTGTAATGTGGGATCGGGAAGGTAATGACTCCGCCCTGTTCCGTTCCGCACAATTTTATTGTTGCTGTCGTACAACGACGTGACTCGTGGTGCGGGTTACGCTCGACTCTCTGGTACGATCATCGCCACCGTACCAAGAGGCCTTCGAAAACAAAAGACGGTCAGAGACGACGACAACGGCTTTTCGGCTCGCGCGGCTCTGGTCGTCTCGTGTGCAACCATACATTGTAGCGGCTTCGAACGACTAAGGCGTATGTGGTGCCTTGGCCGCCACAGTAACATATTTATATTTTTATTGCCAAATCTTTTATGAATATACCAAGCATTCACGATGGAAGTTCCGCATATTAATTGTATTAACACTTTTCGGTACCATTTAATGGTTTTTCGTAAACAACTATAATACCCTGATATTTGATCTGATAAATCAACGCCTTTTTTTGCAATATTATAGTCAAACACATCATCTGGCTTTACTTTGCCATTTCTTCCTTGCACTAATTTACACCGGTGATTCTTTGAGGTAGTTAACATACAAACTGGTCTTTTATCAGTCCATTTTTTAAATTTTACACCACTACGATTTTCGAAACTAATAATTCCACCACGTTTTTGTTTCTGTTTTGCCTGCGGGGAAAGAAATTTTTTGTTTACTGTTACAGTACCACAAATAAATGTATTTTTCTGTAACAGTTCTTCAGCCAAAGGAACACTTGTATAATAACTATCTGTATATAATATACGGCCCCTAAATAATAAACCACTTAGTAATCTCATTACTACATCATGAGAATGTGATTTCTCAATGATTGTTCCATTTTTTCCGGCATAAATTTCAATATTATAAGTGTAACCTTCAGGCAAACACAGTTTGTATAATTTTACGCCATACTTATATCGCTTGCCTGGAATGTATTGACGAAAACCCAGACGTCCTCTCCATGGGACCATACTTTCATCGATAACGATGTTTTTGCCAGGATTTATAGCATTTTTGAACGTATCTACAATTGCTTGTACAATATTTCTAATTTTGTACAACCGATCCTGAGTTGTAGCTGTGGTATTGTCGGAAAAGTATAAATATTTAAGTATCGATATAAACCGATCGCGTTTCATCGCTTTTTTTATACGCGCGTTCGAATACATGTCCTTTTGAGACCAGTATAATCTAATTTCAGGTAGCCGCACTACCCCCATGACAAGTAGGATACCAATAAAAGTGTTCAGTTCGTCTTTTGTAACAGGCTTCCAGGCCTGTTGGTGTCTTCTGCTGCTAAATACAGAGTTGTTCACGCATTCTATAGCATATTTATTCGTTTCCTCAACGATCATTTCTAATATGTAGTTCGCGAAGAATAACTTATATAAAGAAACAGGATCGTCGCAGTCCATGTCATCAATTAACAACTATTCTTCATGCGAATACTCACTCATGGGTTGACCTGTTTCTCTTATTTTTTGCCACTTTTCATTTTCCTCTTCCTCTAAATCCGAATCGAAATCTTCTTCTTCCGTGGTACTGTCGTTTATTTCGGTAGTTGACGATTCACTGACATTACTTGCCTCGTCTGAAGAGGTTGAGAATATTCGTGCTCTTTGTACGATTCTCCTGCTTCCAATTATCGATTCATCAGACGAATCACTGATTTCCATATCCATGGTATCTATTATTTAGATGGGCAAAAATTAAAAAAGAAAAATGCTAACCACCTTTCTAGAAAAAAAGAAAATTTGGACTACTTTTATACTTACTGGAAGAAATGTGTGCTTAGGAAACTTGTTATGTTAGAACTCTACTAACCTCGCACCTCACAGAAAATTCGCACAACCCACAATGCTCACAATGCACACCAACTACACTCTTTTTCATTTGCCCATCAACTGTGTCGTTCGTCCACGGCTTAGGAGTTTTATACCCTGACTCCTCTTCGTCTTTCCTACGGCGTTTCGGTCACTCCGTGAGACCACGGGTGACCCGCGTAAGTCTTCGCGGAATCGCGGCGGTGACTCGAAAGCGAATCACCGACTAAAGTTCCGAAAGAAAATCGCCGACTAAAGTTCTGAAAGCAAATCGCCGACTAAAGTTCCGAAAGCAAATCGCCGACTAAAGTTCCGAAAGCAAATCGCCGACTAAAGTTCCAAAAGCAAATCGCCGACTAAACTTCCGAAAGCAAATCGCTGACTAAAGGAAAGTCCGCGAAATGCCGCTTCCGCACACGTGTTAATTACAATATATTCAAAAAGTGCCGGCTAGGGCGTATTCATTCCCCCAGATGTCACTGATTTCCCTCATTATCTGTGGGAGACCCTAAACGTCTAATTGGGCCGCCGAAGGCCCAGAGGCAGGTCAAAGTTCGCTTAGCTAAAGCCCACCCTGAGGCCCGTGATCGGCCAAGGGGAAGGGAACCGATTTCCGGAAAATCGCGTGATGATCCTCGGCCACTTAGCCCGGCAGAATATCTTTCTTCAGTGGTCCTGGAAACAAAACTCTAGTGCAGAGCCGCACCAACTCCCACCTTAGAGGTTTTCTTCGCACAGCACGTTACTCGGGCCTCGAGTACCAAGGCGCGTGGAAATTGTCAGTCGGGGGTTCGACGAAAATGCCACTCACACTCAACATAATTTACGACTAAAGCTTACACTACGTCCTAACACTATTTTCGTTGTGCATGTTCCTTACGCGCGCCGACGTTCTGCGACGAACATGCATTACTATTTTTATTTCCTGTACGGAATTGAAAAATTTTTTGATTCACGCTATGAACATTTCTTATAGAAAAATGTTCACAGAATAACGTGCGATGGTCAGAATTCGCGTTAGACCTCTACTTTTTAAGAAAAATCGAAAAGTGTACTCCAAAATTAGGGCCATAGCTGGTCCCGTCAGATTTACTTAACATTTACAAATATATGCAAATTGATATTTCCAAATTATTGTATATAAATGTATTAGTTGAAGTCCACGGAATTCATTGAATCCAACAGGAATCGCATAGCTTTTGTAGTTTTGTAATAAATTGAGGTCAAAGTTGAAAATTTGCGATTCTTTTCAAAATCGATTTTCTCAAAAACTAAGGATGATGGATAAAAACTGATTTCAGATTCGTTTTTAGCTCGTCGAGATCTATAAGAATCATCTAGTGGGTATTACCGCACAAAAATCATGTTGAACAGTGTAATCTAGCGCGCTGCGCCGCCCGAAGAAGCAAACCGTGCATTCGGGCGCCGCCTCACAGAGAAAACCCTGAATATCGGCGCCGGCGTGAACGTGTTAACCCAAAAAATATGAGCGTTAAGGGGTTAACCCTCCGAGTACGGGACTTCGAGTCCTGAGCCTGGGTTCTTGCAGACCCCACACCGATAGTTCACTAATACATATTCACGGTGGCTTGAGACCCTCACCGATACTGTACTCAGGTAGGGACGGTCGAGATCCTCGCCGAAATACTAGGCAAAGTGGTGGAAAGGGTTTCGGATTACGTTTGGATATTTGGTATACTTATACGAAACAATAATAGGGTTGCGATTTGTGAATTATAAAAAAATTATGTTTATTCATTATATTACTTACTACATGTATTACATAACAGTGTGCGGTTTTCGGTAGAGTGGTTTTTACAAACATGTTTCTTACAGGAATCGCATACATTGTGATATTTGTTGTTGTTCCCTATACAGAAACAACATCTACCACGTTTGTGACCTGCTAATTGTTTTTTTTTACAATTTTTCTGCCCGTCGCTTCTATCGCGATTGCAATATTGGCTTGTAGCCCTCCTCCTTCACTTTCAAATTTCGTCGCCCGTCTATCAATATTGTTAGCAGTTAATTTTTTTTGCTAACTCTTGCAAAAAATAACTTTCTCCTCATGTTTGAGGAGTGTCTAACTTCCCATGTTGGATATTTCGTATGCCATACGACAAAAGCATTGTATGCGGCGATATCGATATAGTGCATAAATAGTGCTAATGGCCAACGGCGGGTGCAACGCCTACAAGAGTACTCCCTTACTAGTTTATCTAATATATCTACCCCACTTTTTGAGGAATTATAATATTTTATTATTTCCGGCTTGAACTTTTCTGCTGCTGTAGATATATTGTGTTCGCGGTGTAGTGTTGAAAGTAAAACAACGCACTTTCGCGGTTTCGGGATATACGATACTAAACTTATTGTTTCTGTAAATAAAAAATGAGACGAATATGTAAGTCGATCTTGTATTTTTGTTAGTATTTTTGGTAGGTCCCGCCTATTTTTTCGAATTGTTCCAACCAAAAACAGTTTGTTTTCTAGCAGATATTCCGCCAAACTAATATCTGTGAAAAAATTATCTGTTGTTACACAGCGGCCAGAATTTCTCCAAAAATCTGTCATTTCTTTGACGACCCGTTGCCCTTGTTGCTTTTCTGGGGCCTGTCCTTGTTTCCCCAGGTATATTTGCATGTTGCAGCAATAAAAAGTCTTTGAATCGCAAAGGGTACATATTTTGATGCCATATTTTCCTGGTTTGCTTGGCATATAGACTTTGAACGAGCAACGACCGCGAAATGTAACTAGTTGTTCATCGACGCACCCAACGGCTGTTGCATCGTACGAGTCCTTGCAGTTTTGTACAAACATATTTGTAATGCCCCTCAGAGGTGCCAATTTATCCTTTGATTTCCTTTCTTCTCGTGTGGCAGAATCGTCAAAACGGATATACCTGAGTAAAATGTAAATGTAAGTGTGGATGTATGTGAAGATGTAAGCGTAAGCCATCCAAAACCGAACGACCAGGATAATAAATAAATATAATAATAATAATAATAATAACATACCTTAGTATATCTATGAAGCGATCACGCGACATTGTTGCCGTATAAAATTGTCGAGAAAATGCATCGCTTGTCTTCCACAGGTCCTGCTTGCGTTCACGTGATTCTCTGAACCGCCCAATAAGTAGGAGAAGACCAAAAAATGCATCGAGTTCAATGCGGTCCACTGGCTTCCAGTGTTTATTTGGCGGCATACTCTTCGTTGCCTTGATGTTTGTGTACAGAATGATCGTATGGATGATTTCATCATTCATAAATAAATGGAAACATTCATCTACCGTTTCTACGTGTTCACTTTTTTCTGTAAGTGAACACTTACGTGAAAGGTCTTCGACTGCTCCGTTATTTGGTGCAATGTACTGCCAGTTACGTCCAAATACAATTTCGTTTTCTGGAACAGTATTTTCTTCAGATTCTGACGTATCAGATTCGTCGGATTCCCAATCCTGCACCTCTGGCTCAGAATCACTATTCGAAGCACTTCCACCATCCGATGACTGTTCGCAGTTGTGAACGTCTTCGTGGTCTTCCGCAAAAAGAGATTGCTCGTCGTTTGGTAGTAGAGACATTGTATCAATTCAAACAAAACGACACCACTACGATAACACTAATAACAATGATAACAACGATAACGATAATAACAATGATAATAATAAAAACAACAAAGCTAACAACAATCCCAGGAAAAAACACGAGAAAGCAGCGAAGCGTCGTTGTCGGCTATACATTTGCGAATGCCACAAGGCAACGCAGTCGCTTCGAGCTTCCGACTCTTTAGGCCCCGGAAAAACCCCGGTTTATGACACCCGCAAGCGCGAGGCCCTCCTTGAGGACAGCTAAATGACCGCTTGGTTGCGAATAATATTAACAGCTCTGTTACTGTGTGCGTGAGCGCTCTAAAACGGTGGGTCAAAATTGACTCAGGCTCCGGATACGGAGGGTTAATGCCTCCACTGTGGAACTCTCCTTCGCGCGCGACCTTCGCGGTTCATGACGGGTCCGCGAATATTCGCGCCTGCTTTCCGGCGACCTATCGCACGAATATCGCCGCGTCCGCCGGCTCCGGCTCCGGCTCTTTTCACCTCGTGACCTTTCGCTAGAGTCCCGACGTCGCGACGTCGCTCTCGCATTCGATCCCGCGAACGGCCACAGTGGGCGATTTTGGCAATCTAGCTTTACTTTATTGAATTATAAATTCTTTGTGAAGATAAAAACTTTTATGTCATAATATAATACACAAGTTCCATTAATAGTACCGTTACTCTTTTTATGAATTTCTTTTACAGGTATTTATAAAATGAGGTTTTATGTTTGTACTATGATTTCATACTTCATTTTTAAAAGTAAATAACTTTGGTGTTTATCTATTGTAGGATCAGGAAAGTGATAAATATTAACAAATTAAACGGAATATAATTAAACCAAACTTTAACACTTTAAACTAAACAGCCATTAATGTTACACGTCGGTATTCTTAAATGTACGTCTTCGCGTTTCGACCTTCGCCATTCGACTGACTATCGATGTTTATCATCGCTTGGCCCGTTGCGATGATAAACATCTCATCAATGCACCCTTGCTCCGCGACGAGCTTCGGCCCGGTCAAGCCACGTACACAGGCACTCGCCGATGCACCCTGCTTCTCCCCTTTCTACACTCCCCTCCCTACACTATATTCTTCAATTTCGTTTTTTTAAATGTATTTTGGACAATATAGCAATTATTACTAAGTTTTGTAAAAACGTTTTTTTTAAGTATTAACATTGTACAATATACTAAAAGTTTTTTTAAGTTTCAGAATGTTAAAACTTTTATATTAGGTTTTTATTATTTTAGGCGACAAGC